TACATGACGTTACAGTACAAGTTCTCATATGTCCTGAGTCTTAATTGATCTTAGAAGGCTAGGGCCAAAATGTTGGCTTTCCTTGCAGCCTGTACATCATCTTCTAAGAACAATAAAACTAGGAAAGTGGCAAGGTGCTAAACTGTGAGAAACTAAATAAATGGTAAAACTACTGAGTAAAGATAAAAGTGTAGTCATTAAAGTTTGTGTGATTCTTTTGGTGCCCTTTTAGGGCTGATAAGGATCTAAAGGTCTGTTTTAATTAGCTTCTGTCCTTCCTGGTAAGGAAGGGAGAGAAAACATATTTACAAAGGTTTTACCTTTTGTTTAGGCAAATAAGGAGGGATAGAGATCTTTTTCTTGTTTCTGCTTTTTTTTTTTTTTTTTGTGGAACCGGGGATTGAACTCAGGTCCTTGTGCTTGCCAGGGAAGTGCTTATTCCACTGATCCATCTCCCCTGCCCCTTCTGCTACTTTTTACTTAACTTGGGCTCAAAGTAATCTTTATGCCAAAGTGGTATATTCTAGCATATTCCGTTATCCTTTTGTGTCCTTCTGATGGTTTTATTTTGTTTGTTTCCTCCTTTCTAATGACTGATAGATAAAAACATTACTGTTTTACTCATTATTGGGGTAACCAGTGTTACATGTTTTGTAATGTTTAAATATACCTATCTTTTCAAACATTGGTCATTTCTTTATGGTGAAATGCATTCAGAATCCTTTTTAGCTTTTTAAAATATGTGAAGTATATAATTATCTATAGTCATCCTAAATGAGAGTGCAGATGTCTCTTTCACATGCTGATTTCTTTTCCTTTGGCTATATACTCAGTAGTGGGATTGCTGGATTGTATGGTGGTGCTAAGGAACCTCCATATTGTTTTTCTGTATATCCTTGTTAGCACTTTAATATTTTGATAATAGCCCCCATTCTTACTGGAATAAGACACCTGATTCTGTCTTTTACCTTGAATGTTCTTGATTCATTAATAATATAATACTGAACTTTCCCTTATATGTATTGGCCATTTGTATGTCTTTTTTTTTTTTTTTTTAACAGTATTGGAGATTAAGCCAGGCATGGTGGCTCATGTCTGTAATCCCAGCACTCGGGAGGCTGAGGCTGGAGTATCATTGTAAATTTGAGACTAATTTAGGCTACAAAGTGAGCTCAAGGCCAGCCTAAAGTGCATAGTGAGACCCTGTCTCAAAAACAACCAAAAAAGGTGGCACCCCTCACCCCAGTACTGGGGATTGAATCCTCACAATGAGCTATACTATTAGCTTTTTATTTTTTTTTATTTTGAGATAGGTTCTTGCTAAGTTTCCCAGGCTGGCCTCAAACCTGCAATCTTTTTGGTTTAGCCTCCCAGAGTGCTGAGATTACAGGGATGTGCCATGATGCTTGGTTTGGGTGCCTTTTGATTGTGTAACTATTTTTATAATTTTGTGGTGGTGGGACTTGAACCCAGAGCCTTGCAGTAAACTGTATCCTCATCCCTTTGGTTATTGTCTTTGTTTTAAGTTTTAAGGGTCTTACTGAGTTCCTCAGGCTGGCCTTGAACTTGATATCCTCTTGCCTCAACCTTTCAAGTAGCTGAGATTATAGCCATGATTAGCCACCATTACTGGTTTACTTACATTTCTAATTGGGTTGTTTTGTTGCTATTCAGATTTTTATGTATTTGATACAGGGTCTCCCTACACAGCTAGGACTCACAGTGATCCTCCTGTTTTCAGCCTCCCCAGAGCTGGGATTACGGGCATGTACTACCATGCCTGGACTTGGTGGTGTGGCATGCTGTTCAGGTTTAGTTCCTTGTACATATTCTAGCTATTAACCTCATATGTACTTTGCCCCATTATATATTAGACAGAATATTTTGTGTATATGTATGTTTGTATATATGCTGCAATTGTATAGGCTATCTGTATTCTTGATTGTTTTCTTTTTTTTTTTTTTTTTTGAACCGGGGATTGAACTCAGGCCCTTGCCCTTGCCAGGGAAGCACTTATTCCACTGAGCCATCTCCCCGGCCCCAATGATTGTTTTCTTTGTTGCATAGACACTTTTAAAGTTTGATGCAATCCTAGTTGTCTACTTTTGCTGTTGTTTCTTGTGGTCCGAGAGTCTTGTCAAAAAAATTTTAAGGGTCTACTAATATATAGAAAAAAAAATTTTAAGGGTCAGTAAGATAGCTCTACAAACTAAGTGCCTGATTTGGGAAGCACAGGGACCAGGGGTTAAATCCTAGTCCCACATGCTGTGCTGGCTGCACCCCCAGGGTGTACTGAGCCGGTGACAGAGCCGGGAGCATGGTTGCACATGCCTGTAATCTCTGCACTGGAGAGGCCGAAAACAGGATCACTACGAGTTGGAGCTGCTTAGTGAGACCTATACCGAATATATAAAGTGAAAAAAAAAAAAATCCTTTTACATTCTCGTACCCTGTAGCATTTCTCCTGTTTTATGCTACTACTTTTGTACTTTAGACCTTAAAAGCCTTTAATCCGGGACCTTAAAAGCCTTTAATCAGATGGCTCAGTAGAATTGTACTTGCCTGGCAAGTACAGAGTCTCGAGTTCAATCCCCGGTTCTGCCAAAAAAAAAAAAAGCCTTTAGTCCATTTTGACTTTCACCTAGCTAGAGATAAAAGTCAAAGTGTTATTGTTCTGCATGTGAATATAGAAATAATACTAGTTTTTGTTTTGTTTTGGTGGCTTAGGCTGCCTGAAGGGCAGGTCTGGTAAGGCAAGTAGAGCTGGGGATCAAATCCCGGTATCCAGCTCCTGACTTTGTTTGCCTGAGCAGGCGCTTAAACAACTGAGCATTAGCTAAGTTGGGCAGGCCCCCCGATAATATTAGTTTTTATAGTTGTCATTATTAAGATTCAAATATGGAGTCCATGAAATGATCTTTGGGAGTTTTGTAGATGCCCATCATGGTGTGCAAAATGGGTTGCTTTTATATGCTAGTATGCAATTTTAGAAAGAAAGTGAACAACTTATGTAGATTTTGAGATAGGAATTATCCTCTGTTCCCAAAATGGTTAATAAGAATTAGTGATGTAACTAATTGCTATACTTAATCCAAGACCTCTATGTAACAATAGATGCCCTAAAAGAAAATTCATTAGACATCTCTTAATAACTCTGTCACATGTTTTCAAAGAGCAGTTTAACAAAATGTTGACTGTTAAGGATTTTCATATAATGGTATCTTGAAAATAAGTATATTCTTTATAAGAGTAAAGATCATTGCATATATTTTCTCACATTAAAGGATGTCTTATATTTAAACCAATATAAAATGTTGGATTTTACTAAGATTACATTAAATGTTCCTCTTTCCAATTTTCAAGGATACTACCCACCACCTCCAACGGTACCAGCTGGTGTGGCTCCCTGTGTTCCTCGCTTTGTGAGGTCCAATAATGTTCCAGAGTCCTCCCTCCCACCTGCTTCCATGCCATATGCTGATCATTACAGTACATTTTCCCCTCGAGATCGAATGAATTCTTCTCCTTACCAACCTCCTCCTCCGCAGCAGTATGGACCAGTTCCCCCAGTACCTTCTGGAATGTATGCTCCTGTGTACGACAGCAGGCGCATCTGGCGCCCACCTATGTATCAACGTGATGACATTATTAGAAGCAATTCTTTACCTCCAATGGATGTGATGCACTCATCTGTCTATCAGACGTCTTTGCGGGAAAGATACAACTCATTAGATGGATATTATTCAGTGGCTTGTCAGCCACCAAGTGAACCAAGGACGACTGTGCCTTTACCAAGGGTAAGTGGTGATAGAAATAGAAATGCTACTGTAATGTAGTAGTTAAAACCTGTGCATGGAGTCAAGTCACCCAGACTCCTGGCTCTTCCTGTTGCTATTTGTGGGACCTAACAAGTTACTTAAACTCCCTGGCCTCTGTTTTTTCATCTAAATGATGGAAATAATAGGGCTGCATACCATATGAAGCTATAAGCATTAAATTAGAAACATAAAATTCTTAGAATGGAGCATGATGCATATGAATACTAAGTAAGTGTTATGTTTGAATAGGCAATTGATGAAAAGGTAAAAAGAAATCTCAAAAATACAAGGATAAGGCTTTTTTTTAGTATTTCCCCAAAATACAAAGATGTCTCTAAACTAGAAAAAAATGTTCTGGTTTTATCTAGTATCAGTGATGTGAGTAAATATTAACTCTTTTGGTTTAAGTATATAAAATACAGTATACTGACTTCTTGCTGTGTGCTTTTGGGTTTTGTCTCACCAATATAAAAATTTATTTCATTATTTTCACAGAGCATAATTAAATATATTCACTACTCTTTAAATGATCAGGCTTGTTTCTTTTATTTCCCTAGGAACCTTGTGGTCATTTGAAGACCAGCTGCGAGGAGCAGATAAGAAGAAAGCCAGACCAGTGGGCACAGTATCACACTCAAAAAGCACCTGTTTCTTCAACTCTTCCTGTAGCAACACAGTCTCCAACACCACCTTCTCCTCTATTTAGTGTAGACTTTCGCACAGATGTAAGAAAGGCTTCAATCACTTGATATGTAGGAATAGGTTAAACAGTTGACCTCAGACTATTCATTCAAGCCAGGGTTAGATAATTTGAATGTCTTGCAGTGATTTGGCGTATCTTTTTTTGACTTGTTTGTTTGTGAGACAGGCTCTCACCATGCAGTTGAGGCTGGCCTGGAATTTGGTCTACCTGCCCCAGCTTTCTGGGATTACAAGCTTGATTCATCATGCCTGGCTTTTGTTTAGTTGGATTGAGTTCCTTATAGCTAGGTATTACAAGATTAGGAAGACCATTAGGTACTTTTTGTTGTTTGGTCCTGGCTATCAAATCACAGCCTTGCATAATCTTTGTTTGTTTGTTTGTTTGTTTTTTTTTTGAGACAAGATCTCTCTTTGTAGTCCAGGCAGTCCTCAAACTCACTGCCTCAGGCTCCTAAGTGCTGGGATTACAGGCATGCTTGGTCTAGCCTTGCACAGTTTTAGAATATGCTATATCACTGAGAGATACTCTGAACTTCAGTTGTTCCATCTCTAGCATGTATAAAGCCTTGTACTCAATACCTCTACCACAAAAAAATTGAGATTTATATATACCAGTTATTTAATACCTCCTCATACCAAGCATGTGCTGTTTACATAATGCTGTTACATAATTTATTTAAGTCTTACAAAAACCTTAGTCATCTAAGGGGTTGGTATTATATTTTATAGATTAGGAGAGAGATTTTTAGTAATTTTCGCCAGACTTTCCAGTCTGCAAGTAGCTGGTAAACCCTAGTCTATCGGAGACGTTGTTCCCCCTTATGAATGCAGAAATGCCCATTGTGTTACTTTTAAATCATGTTAAGTATTGTTCTTGGCACCTTAAATTTTTGTACCAGGATGATGTGAGTTTAGCCAAGTGCTTTTAGTACTATTTAGGTTTGATTTGGATTTTTTGAGACAAGATCTTGCCATGTAGTCCAGGCTCACCTCAAACTGATAATCCTTTGTCTCAGCCTTCTGAATCTTGAGATTGTAGGCTTGTGCCCCCATGCCCAGCTAATACTATTATATTTGAAGAAAATTCATTAATTTTGTTTTTTACATGTACCTAGTTTATTCCCCAGAGGGTCAGACATTAAACTTTTTTATCCTTTGTGACCAATTTTAAACATTTAGAAGTATAGAATAGCATAATAAATGTTATATACCCACCAGTAACTGTTGCCCAGTTTCACTTGGCCAGACTTGTTTCCTTTCATGTTCATTGTTTCCATGGGATTACTTTAAAATCTTATGCCATACTTTTTTCATCCATAAATATTTTAAGAAAGTGTTAAATTTGTAAAGTAGATTCAAGTTCATCTCCCCAAACTTCCTTAAAGCAGGTAAACATCTTGGCAGAGTAACAACTGCCACTTGCTTATTAGAAAAGTTTATTTTTATTGTGCTATGCTATGCTTTAGGAAATGAGTGTTTCTCTGAGATTCACATTTGCTGTCAGCTAGCACTATGAATTGGAATAATTCTTTACTTCAATTTTCATTGTCTGTATAATTGGCAGACATGTTTAATGATTCTCACAACTTCATATTCTGACCACACAGTATTACAGTATGGTCCCTTTAAAATTTATTCATTTCCCTTTCCAGCTTCAGAAGCAACTTGGAATCCTTTTTGTTCTCTGTTTAATACTGCATGTAAATCACTTATGTTCCCTCATTTTTATGGCTTTTTTCAAGAAAATTATAAACTCTTCTAGGGTATGATCTCTGTTAATATGTATTGTATATTTTTCTTTTACTCTTCACTTTTTTAGTGCACCCCAATACTGTTGTACTTCAGTTTACGAGCTTAATTCTTTCCTTGATTCTGGTCACAAACCGAATTGGAGAACTTACTCAAATTTCCTATAAGGGCAACATTGAACTTAACCATTTAATTTGATACAGTTACCTAGTTCAGTTTATGACTAGAATTTTGGAAAGACAATTTGTGGACTGAGGTACCACTATGTACCATGTTAGCAGCAAAAAATGAGTACTTGTTGATTGGTTTTGATAGTGTTAATCAGGAGTTCCTTATAAATTTTAAGGGACAAAGTAAAAAGAGATAGCATGCTGTTTTTTGTTTTTTTTTTTTTTTTGTAGAAATACTATTTGTTGCTTATAAATTTTTTTATATTACTGAGAATATACATTTTTCATTATATAGTCACTTTATATTGGTTACAGTCTTGTAAGTTTCATACTAACTGCCCCCTATTTTTTTTTTAACCAGTTCTCTGAGAGTGTGAGTGGTACAAAATTTGAAGAAGATCATCTTTCCCATTATTCTCCCTGGTCTTGTGGCACCATAGGCTCCTGCATAAATGCCATCGATTCAGAGCCGAAAGATGTAATCGCTAATTCAAATGCTGTACTAATGGTATGATTTTACTGGTGTAGAGGAGTTGGGACTGGCAGGAATTATGCATGTTTACTCATGTGCTTTCATCTTCCTCTTGTTGCCATGTTAGTCATCCGTAAACAGTGTTATAATATTTTGAGAAGTCTGAAATAGCATTTAAAGTAGTTGAGCATAGCTTAATGATTCAACTTAGTTTCTGGATTATAATTGAGATATAGAGGTAGTGTAAAATTTACCAGGATAATATATTTTTTTTTTTTCTTTTTTTTTTTTTTTTTTGGCAGAACCGGGGATTGAACTCAGTCCCTTGTGCTTGCCAGGGAAGCACTTATTCTACTGAAGGATAATCTGTTTTCATATCCTTTTTTTAATGAATTGAATCTATGGTCTTCATGCTGAGCTACTGGCCCTTTTTGTTTTTTATTTGTTTTTGTTTTGCTTTTTGAAACAGGATGCCACCAAGTTGCCCAGGCTGGGCTTGGACTTAAGATCCTTAGCCTCTCAGAGTGCTGGGATTATAGACATGTACCATTACATCCACTATGTATCTTTTGATTTCCTTTTTTTTTTTTTTTTTGGCGGAACCGGGGATTGAATTTAGGCCCTTCCGCTTGCCAGGGAAGCGCTTATTCCACTGAGCCATCTCCCGGGCCTTGATTTCCTTTTAATTAATTGTTTGGTACCGGGTCTTGCTATGCAGCTCAGACTCATAGTGATCCTCCTGTCTCAGCCTCCCCAGTGCTGGGATTACAGGCATGTGCCACCATGCCTGGTTTCAGGACTGGCAGGGTGTGCCCAGGGTTCTGGGGCCAGCATGGCATGCAGTACCAGAGATTGAACTCGGTTCCTTGTGCTTGCCAGGCAGGTGCTTAGACCATCAAGCTATCTTCTCAGCCTTACATAATCTTTTGATAGCATAATGCTGTTACTATTTCACATAATTACCAACCATGCTTTTGTTGATATTGTTTGATTTATATAGGACCTGGACAGTGGAGATGTTAAGAAAAGAGTACATTTATTTGAAACTCAAAGAAGGACAAAAGAAGAAGACCCAATAATTCCCTTTAGTGATGGACCCATCATCTCAAAATGGGGTGCAATTTCCCGATCTTCTCGTACAGGTTACCATACTACGGATCCTGTTCAGGCCACTGCTTCCCAAGGAAGTGCAACTAAGCCCATCAGTGTATCAGGTACTTCATTTTAACCAATACTTAGGCTGTTACATTTTATGCATTGTGCTATTTATTTCCCAGCCTGTGAAATAGGGAACAAACTCAGAATTACATAGTATAATACTCAGTATAGCAAACTCAGAATTACATAGTATAATCAGGATTAGTATTACATAGGAATTGCAATAAAGTATACATTTTTAAAAGTGTATATTCACTTCTATACTGATATTTCACCTTTTTAATAATTATTTTTTATCTGTAGATTATGTCCCTTATGTTAATGCTGTTGATTCAAGATGGAGTTCATATGGCAATGAGGCCACATCATCAGCACATTATATTGAACGGTAACATTATTCTTAATTCTTTTCCTAAATTCTTATTCTCAATTTTTTTCTCAACTCTTGGGGCTGAAGAGATAGCTCAGTAGAATAAATATTTGCCTGTCAAGCTCAGGGTCCTGAGTTCAATCCTCAGTACCTAAAAAAACAAAAACCAACATGTTTTCTTTTGGGGGACTGCCCATTAGCTCAGTTGTTCAATAAGTGTCTGCTTAAGCAAAGCACTCAGGTTCAGAATTCTGTGGTTCGATCCCCAGATCCTCATGCCTTACCAGACCTTCACTTAAGGCATCCTGAGTGGGCAAAAAAAATTCCTTCTCTACTCTCAGTATTTTTTTTTTTTTTTTGCAGAACCTGGGATTGAACTCAAACTCTCAGTCTTATATGCATCCTCAGAATACAAAAAATACAAAATCTACTCTTGGTTGTTCACAAAATAGGCTTTGAGCTGTGTAACAAATGTGTAAAAACTTTTTTTCTATTTGGAATAATAAACCTGAAATTTTCAAGGTTAATGTTTACCTATAGTCATTACTGCTTTAGTTATTTCATTTAATTTTTTATTACAATAAACGTATTTCTCTTTAAAGGGACAGATTCATTGTTACTGATCTGTCTGGTCATAGAAAGCATTCCAGTACTGGAGACCTTTTGAGCATTGAACTTCAGCAGGTGGGCTTGATGTAACTCAGCTTTGATTTTTAAAACAAGAATGGCAGTTGAAAGCCATGGTTGGAAGATAAATGTGTTTTCCTCTCTTCTGGTAGGCAAAGAGTAACTCATTACTTCTACAGAGGGAGGCAAATGCTCTAGCCATGCAACAGAAGTGGAATTCCCTGGACGAAGGCCGTCACCTTACTTTAAATCTTCTAAGTAAGGAAATTGAACTGAGAAACGGAGAGGTAAAGATATTGAACCCCCTAACTCCATGTTTAATGTATTTGTTTTCTGCTGGTGCATGTTCATTTATACCATTAATTAGTACATTTTGATTTGCTTTTTTCTGATGGATAATTGATCGCTTTTAAAATTTAATGTAGCATACCATTTTGGGTTTTTTGTCTTGTTTTATTTTTTGAGACAGGGTCTCTGTGTAGTTCAGATGGCCTTGAGCACACTATAATAGCCCAGCTGGTCTTGAACTCCCTACTATCCTCCTGTCTCAGCCTCCTAACTGCCAGGATTATAGGCATGTGCCACCACACCCAGCTTACAGTAGCATAATTTTACAGTTGCAGGATTTGAGATTCTTGTTTTAATTTAAAAGGATGGCCCCAGGCCACAGCTATAGCTCACTAATTTAAGTGCTTGCCTAGGCAAGCTCAAGGACCTGGGTTTGATCCCAGCATGGTACCGAGTGCCGGGCCAGCCCCACCCAGGGTGTGTTAAGCTGGCTACTGAGTCTGGTTGTGGTGGTGCACATGTAACATCTCAGGGCTGGAGAGGCAAAAACAGGAGAATCTCTACGAATCTGAGCTGTGTAGTGAGACCCTGTACCAAATACATAAAGTTAAAAACAAATAAATGGGTAACCCCAAGTTCTGCAAGTACAAAATGTTTTCTTCTCCTCCTCCTGCCTCCCCCTCTCCTTCTTTCCCCTCCTCCTCTTCCCTTTCTTCTCCCTCCTCCTTCTTGTCCTCTCCTTGTTTTTGTTGTTTTGGTGGAATTCTTTTTGAGACAAGACCTCAATATGTAGTTCAGGCTTGCCTCAAATTCACTATATAATCCAGATTGGCCTTGAACTTGCAGCAGTCCTCTTTCTTCAGCCTCCTATATACTGGGATTATAGATGATTATAGATGTATGCCACCATGCCTGGCAAAATGAGTTTTTTTCTTATTTACAGAGTGATTATACAGAAGATACAACAGATACTAAGCCTGATAGAGATATTGAATTAGAGCTTTCAGCACTTGATACTGATGAACCTGATGGACAAAGCGAACAAATTGAAGTAAGTCCCATAATTAGATAATTAGAAACTTTGTTCCATTGAAAATTAAGGGGCCAGGGAGATGGCTCAGTAGAATTAAGTGCTTGTCTGGCAAGCGCAAGGGTCTGAGTTCAATCTCCGGTTCTGCAAAAAAAAAAAAAAAAAAAGAGAGAGAAAATTAAGGGGCCAGGGAGATATCTCAGCGGCTTAAGTGCCTGCCTGGCAGCTGAAGGTCCCAAGTTTGATACCTGGTACCGCCAAAAAAAAAAAAAAGAAAAATTAAATGGGTAGTGCAGTTGGGGTGTCAGACAGGGTAACCTAGTTCACTGACAGACCTACGATGATGATCAGGTTCCTGGGCCTGCACTACTGGGAGTTGGCTAAGAACTGGATCTTGTCAGCCTTTGTGTTGGGTGCTGTGGGTGCCATGGGACTGGTGTGGACCACTGACTGGCAGCTGATCCTGGACTGGGTACCATACATCAGTGGCAAGTTTAAGAAGGATGAATAGCTGCCCCTTTCAGAACCCTCTAGTGTCTGGTGATGCCAGATCCTCCCAGCACAGCACCCACTGTGTACAGAGAACTCCCAAGGACAGACACCAAGGAAGCCTATGGCGTAGCCTGGATTTTCTCAGCTGCTGAATACTTTTGATACTGTAATGCTTGGAGCATTAAACCTCACTCTCAAAGCTCAAAAAAGAAAAGAAAATTAAATGAAATACTTTCATACTGAAAGATTACCATTGTGTTTTTTTAGGAGATCTTGGACATACAACTTGGTATTAGTGCTCAAAGTGACCAGTTGCTGAATGGTACTGCAGTGGAAAATGGGCATCCAGTTCAACAGCATCAAAAAGAGCCATTAAAGCAAAAGAGACAGAGTTTAGGTGAAGACCATGTGAATCTGTGAGTGTTAGACAGAAAATTTATAGCCAGTAGGAATAGGGCATATTTAAAGAAATTTTCACCTTATTCCATGAGAAGAAAACAGTAGGGCAGTGTTTGGCTAGTCAAAATTCCCAGGCCTTTTTGCATGCTAAACAAGTACTCTTACCTTTGAGCAGCATCCCATCTCTTTTTTAAATTTTATTTTGAGACCAGGATCTTAATGAGTTGCCTAAACTTAACTTGAATTTTATGATCCCCTTGTTTTCAGCCTCTCAGATAGATGGGATTACAGGAATGTACTACCACATCTATTTTACAACATAACCGTTTTAGTAACCTGAGACTTGCTTTTTATTGGGGTAAAAGTATGTACTTTAGAACCAGAGTAAATACTTGAATCTGGTCAAACTTCTAGACTACAAAACAGAGAATTAAAACCTTAATAAATTTTAAAAAAAAGTTCTTTCTTATGTTAACAACCATACTAAGATTTTGAGTATAATATTGCCTTTTTAATAATTATTACCAAAAATAATGGGTTTAATTTTGAACTTGATAATTTGATTAATTTTAAACTAGCCAGTATTTTAAATTTTATTGTAATTTTTTAAAAAATGGGACCTTTTCAGCTGGTGTTCAATACTTTTTACTGATAAAAAAGACATGCTTTTGCTTTGACCTCTTTAATAGAGCTTTCATTAAGCATGTACAGTTACTCTTCCAATTTTCACTAAAAACTAATTTATTTTCATGGTCATTTTTTTTCTCTCAGGGAGGAGCAAAAACCAATTCTGCCGGTAACTTCTTGCTTTAGTCAGTCACTCCCAGTGTCTGTGAGCAATGCAAGTTGCCTCCCCATCACCACATCTGTCAGTGTCGGCAACCTCATTCTGAAAACTCATGTTATATCTGAAGATAAAAACGACTTTTTAAAACCTGTTGCAAATGGGAAGATGGTTAACAGCTGAAAGGAGATTCATCTTTCAAATTTGTGACCACACCATGGAAGCATTTACACTAGCTTTTTATATATATAATATATATTATATAATGTATATTTTTTTTAAAAAAAGATATTACTGGGGGCATCCATTTCCTGTGGACTCTTTGATACTTCAAGCCCTCTTGCATTAGCATTATGAAAAAAAAAAAAAGAAAATTTACTTTACTAGGGTAACATGTTCACTTTCCAGAGGTGATTGGAATTTGGACAACATTTAACTTAAGCTTCAAGCAGCTTTTTATGAGTTTGTAGCAATCCGGTGCAGTAACTGAGCCATTTCCTATTTTAAATGGCTTCTGTAGAAAAATTAACAACTCAGTTATTAAACTAGCAGGATCCTACAATGATACATCTAGTGAAAGTAGAATTAATTAACTTATTTATTTCTATTTTATGTTTCACTGAGAGAAATTTCCATCTCATTCCAGCTGCTTTATTTATCTTTTTCATGGGACTTTGCATGGATTTTTTTCCTTTTTTAAATTTTTTGTTTTAATTTTGAAGAGTGGAGTTAGACATTCTTATCATAGAGTTTTACAGGGTTATATACTAGCTTTCTTTACTGTATTATATGTAGGAGTGTGGTGCAGTGCTTTTATCTGTAGCATTTATTTTTTTTTTAATTTTTAATTTTTTAAGAATAGTTTCTGCTTTGTTAATATTTATACACAGGCTACTTGTTGAAGTAATTAATTAAAAATATAACCAAGTGCCTAAGTCTTTCAGCTGATGTACTAGATATTAAATTCTCCTAAGTTATGCAGAATCGTTTTTACAATTTTGATAAATTATGCACTAATGTAATGGCGGTTTTTTAAAATGCAGATTTAAGCCTGTACATTATAGGATCTGTTGACTTGGCAAAAGAATCAGGTGCTTTCAGCTTTCTTGAGAAAACCCTGTATGTAGCGTTTGCACTGACTAACAAGATGGTATTGCTGGGTTTTTAATTTAAACTAATTAATTTAGATGTTCATTGCATTATCTTGGTTGAATATTGTTTATTGTTACTTCATGTTGGGGTTAATTTTTTTGTTTTTTTTTCTGACTGGTAAGTTGATAAGACTATGAACCATGTTATAGTAGAACATTGGCTAACATTTATTCATATTTAAAAACAATACCTGTCCTAGCATAATGTGACTGAAATTATTTTGACTTGGCATCTAAAAGTTTGCAGTAGTATGTTCAACTAGCCATGGCCCAGATTTGTGGAAATACTTCATTGAAACCTAAATTTCAGTCAGCATTTGAAAGCAAAAGCTAGGCATTTTTTCAAGGTAACCTTACCTATAGTTAGTCTTTTTGTTTTTCTTCCATTTCTTTAAGATTAGTTTGACTTTTATAATTTTTTTAATTAACTTCTGTGAAGTTGTTTACTCTGAAAATTGTACTGGAATATTTTAAGCCAAGCTGATCTTTCACCAGGTGTACTGTATGTAAGGGCTTTTCCTGCTAGCAAGATGCTTAAACAGGATCATGTTATTGGTCGTCTGAGCTATTTAGTTATTTTACAAAACCACAGCATTGTATCAGATAAGATTTTGATAAAAGTTTTGTGCACATTTCCAGGGGCGGGAGGGTTGACATTTCCCTGAAATTTCTTGATCGGAAAGAGTAAATACAAGTGTTTGATACCTGTCTTAATGAACATGCTCATAAGGTGACTGATAAGTTGTAAATATACCTGAGAAACAAAGGGGTAGTTTTGATATTCTGGTGTCAGTATGGAAGATCTTACACATTTATTTAATATTCAGATGTATGAAGATGTTTGTTTGTAGCATAACAGCACAGTAGCCTTGACTTAGTTTTCTTTAATTAGTACTGTACCTTTTTGCCATGGCCAGTGCTCCTCATCCCTACAAGGACATTTTATTTATTTCACTCTGTAACCTGAAGTGAATAGGAACAAGAGTTTTAAACCATGTTACATTAACTTATTTCTGACATTATAAATTAGCCTAGGATATTACAGGAACATGATTGTTACATAATTTATATCAGAACCTTTCTATAAATATGTGCTTATTACATTTTGAATGCTTCCAATGTACTTTATTTGCTGTTTTTAATTCCAAAAAGGATATGCAAACCAATCTGTCTATTTCATGGATATTTAATAGTGAGATCTTCCATGTTGAAGGTAATGTATTTTTTTTTAAGATTTTAAAATTGCTATTTTGTTACAAAATAGAGACCTATTAACAGTTGGAGAGCTCCTTATGTGCCCTCAGGGAAAGAACCCTCTGTGCAACAGAACTACACAAAACATCTTCAGCACGTTCTGAGGGTGAATATATACTACATAAATTGATCTTGTGTATTTAATCTTATCTTTTTAATTTTAAAATTGAAAATTTGAAACTTGGTTGTGCTCTGCTGGAGGGGGTTGGGATAAACTGCTTAGGTGTTTGCCTACTTGTCCAGTAAATTACATTTGCATAAGTGTATGTATATACCCACCAACCTTATTGATATGTCTCAGAATATTTATATTAAAGTAATGCTTGTCTTGCAGCAGGTGATCCCATAAAATAGTAACTCCCTATTCTGAAAATCCCACTCTTTTTCACTAACAACATAGGAATTGATTCTGTGTTGACATTATTTCTGTATTTCATCTTTCTTTATGTGGTAGCCACCCTCTGTCATGGTTAAATGTGAAATAAAGTTATTGGTGTTCTCTGCCACTTCAGAAGAAAGACAGTTCATCTGATCCTTCTTCAGTGGTATCTACTGATGTCACAGAGGGAAATCATACAAATGAGATCAAGAGAGTGGCTTCTTTGGGGCAGTTGTCAGTTGATCTTTTCACCAACACATTGTGAGTAAACATTTTAAATCAAAGGCTACATCTCAAGAGGAGAGGAAATTTGTATCATTAGTAATGAAAATTGTATACGTTGCCAGTGGTCTAATGAGGAAAAAGCAGTCTGAGATTTGGTAATTAGGAAAGGGTGTTTTTTTGGGTTTTGTTTTATCCTTTTTCAATTTTAAGTCCCTTCCTTAGGACCACCAGCCTTGCTCCAATGCTGTAGATATAGTATCAGTAGGTTTTTTGTTTGTTTTGTTTTTCTTTGTGTGTGTGTAGTTTTATTTCATTTTATGAATTTTGAGAAAGATACAAATGTCTTTTAGTTGATACATGAACAAATGAGATTCCTTTGCCTTTGCTGATGTGATATACTTTCAATGCCATACAATGAAAAAGTATACATGAAAAATTGTGCATTGTAATTTTTAAGAAAAGTTAGTTCGTAGCACCGATCCCCCCACTCCCTATCCCATGGCTGTTTACTTTAGTAATAGACTAGTAAATGAAATAGCGCATTCTAGCACTGAAATTTCCATTTCTTTGGATTTAGTTATTTTCGCCCAAATTTCAAGTTGATGTTAATTACATAAAGCACATCCTAGTTTTGTATACCACCTTGAGAAAATTAACAACACACAATTTGTAGGAATTAGTGGGATCCATTAAACATTAGAAAAACTTTTAAAAGCCATCTGCCTTTCACATTTTTTTAACCTTTCACAATTTAGATTCTAAAGCCTACTTTGTCTTATTAATCGGTAGAATTTGTGACATATTTAATATGTGATTTCAAAGTTGAGTATTTCTTCTCTAGCTTCTTGAGTCCCTTTCTGAGCGGACCATCACCAGTATTGGCAATCAATGTTAAAGGGAAAAGTTAAATTCCAACTGTGTGTTAGTTTGCTGGAAGAACTTTTCTTATGTTTAGTGAATAAAGAGTTGATGGGATCACTTACTGTAACTCCTTGTTTGCAAGGACCCCTTCTGCAAGCAGAACACAAATGAACATGCTCTAGGAGTATACCCTTTTCTGGATAAATTGAAAAAGTTTGCTAGTAACTTCTCAGTACTAGTAGTTTCTTTGTATCCCTTTGCTGGCAAGGGAGTACAAGGAGTCAAGACCACAGATCAGAAAACCCCACATTTGAGTGGAGACTTATTTTTACTCCAAGAGCAGTTATTCCCTTACGTCCAAAACTGGCAGTTTTGTGTTTTTTATTTATTTATTTTTTTTTAACATAAAATTTTAAAAAATATCCCTAAACCAGTGAAAAACAGACACTGGCTGCACTTAGTACTGCCAAAAGCCAAGGTCATTTGCACATATTCCATCAACCTGTGAAGAATTAGGCCTCACTCTGTAACCCAAGGCATGGAAGTGCATGCATCCTCTTAGCTGGGCAAACGGTTATACTGTAGTTGTGATACAACACACGTGGCTTTTATTTGTACTGCACATATCCACTGTACAGCCACTTGGGAGTATCGTGGTTAGCTTGCAGCAACTGCTGTCTGCATTTATACTGTTTATTGCATATTCTTTTCCCTGGAAGTGAAAGAGAAATGTTCTTGTTGCATTGATTACACTTTATAAATTTGCTTAGCTGGAAAGTTTGGGAAAAGAGGCCTGTTTGTCAATTGTACAACCGATTGTGAAGCTCTAGTGTGAATATTTTTACGTCTGTATTAGACATTTTCTTTGCAAATCTATTGTTCGATTGAAATGTAAATGAAATTAAAGATGGTGTACACCCATCATGTAAAAAGCAGGCACCATCTCTAAGATGGATTTAATGCTCATTTTTAAGGCATATACTCAGCTTCTATTTAAAACTATAATTTAAAATAATTCTGTACAATGAAGTGGGAAATATATATGGGAATAAATTCTATTCCATTTATTTCAATTTGAATTTCCAAATTGTAATGTTTCCCTTTGTGCTATAGGAATAGGATTAAGTGGGGGAAGGCTAGGACTTATAAGGCCTGTATATGGGGGGAGGGCAGAGATGGAACAATGAGGGTTGTGATGATAGTGAATAGCAAAGAGTGAATTCTGTGTGTTTTTGCTGTAGCACTGAAGTGAAGCGATATTAGCTTTGGCTGTTCACAAAATAGAGCATCATGATTTTCAGTGTTTGAGAGAAAATTGATGGAAAGAGTTTGCAGTACTTGACATGTATTTGCATGCACAAAATAAAATTATTTGTCCACCTTAAAAGTTGTTTAGTGTGTATATTAAGTTTATGGAATATCTTAGTTGTCTTACTTTTCTTGGGCTTTTTTTATTTGGTTTTTTTGGGGGGGTTACTTTGTGTTTTGGGTGCACTTTTATCATCTACTTCAACCATACACCATTGAGAATGAACTGATATAAACAAATAGACATGAAGTTGAAATATTCCTTAATTCTGTCTGTCACTTCAGTCATTGAAGAATGCTTAAGTGTAGACAATATTCAGTTTACAGTTCAGGGGGAGAAAATAGGACAGATACATTAATACTAAGTTATGTGTCATAGAAGTATGAAGATAGTTCTGTGGGCCTCAATGTAACAGTGTGGCTTGAGTGAATCTAGGCATCATTTTCACTGGGCCTTCTTCAGTTTCTACACTGAGCTGATGTGTTTTAAGCTCCTGTCTGTTGTGGTCATAAAGATTAAAGGTCTGTGAAACAAAAGCCTTTCTTTAGAAACTCAGTATAGAAAAGGCAGGGAGGGGCCGGGGAGATGGCTCAGTGGAATAAGCGCTTCCCTGGCAAGCACAAGGGCCTGAGTTCAATCCCTGGTTCTGGAAAAAAAAAAAAAAAAGCAAATTTGGATAGTTTATAGAGCTAAATGAAAATTCCAAAGGGGAACTTATAAAGCTGTGGTACTGCTACTCTGCTCTGTGAGATGACATTGACTATATTTTGTAGGCAAATTATATTTCACCAAGCAGAGGGAAGGAATTATTCTAAGCACCTGTTCTGTGTTTGCAGCAATATCCCTTATTTTATGTTTGAAATAGTATGTAACTCACAAAGACTTCGAAACTAGAAGACTAGTAGAGTTAGAATTCTGATTCACATCTGCCCTCTTTCTGCCTCCTAAAGATGTGGTGGTTGGATCTCATTTTAGGCTGTTATAATGGAGTGTATAAAGAAGCAGGTAACAAGACAAATACCTAACTTACTTAGAACACTACATTCCAGACACTCTTCTGAGTGAGGTAAATATATCGTCACCATTTACAGACGAAACTTGAGCCAGACCTAGAGAGTTTGCCTAAGTTCACACATTTAGAAGAGATGTCTTTGAAAGGCACGGTGAAGTTAGATAATTGGAACGTTTTGGGATTTTGAAAAGATCACTGGCAATGGTATGAATGGTGAAAAAAAACTACTCTCAGGTCAATAGTGTAAGTATTAACAACATAGCCAAGCAGAAATGGAGGAAAAGATTTTGAAAAATAAGTGAGTGGATTTATTGTATGCAAAGTATGTTAGATATGAAGAAATAAAATTGCATTAGAATCACTGGCCCCACTGCTGAGAACAGACTGATAATTGTCAAAAGTGACCTTGTGTAAATCCTGGAGTGAACTGGGATTAGGAAGAACCATGAATTAGGTGACTAAGGAAAGAAGAAATTTAAGGAAATGAAATACCAGTATTTTATTTCATAGGTAATACCTATTGAAACAATTACATGCTTTAACAGAATTTTAAATATCTGTAGGATAACTTAGTGACTAGGTCTCTTTTTCTTTAGATCTTTCAAAATTCAACCTCTGAATCCAATGGAAAATAAGGGATAAAATTTAGATATGTAAGCCCAAGGGACTGGAGATGAACTGAAGTATTTTTAAAATAATTACAAATTCAAAGGAAGTAGCAAAAAATAGGTGCTAGGCATGGTGACACACAAATGTAATCTAGAACTTGGTGGGGCCAAAGCCAACCAAGTGCTAGTTGGAGGCCAACCTGGGCTACATAGCAAGAGTGTCTCAGAAGCAGAGGACCATGTACCCTTCATAGTTTCTCTGATAGTATCTTAACTATATCAAAACCGGGAATTTACCTATGTAATCCACAGACCTAATTCAACTCTTAGCAGCTTCACACGCACTTTGTATACATGCTCATACACTGTGTGTGTGTTTCTATAGTTTTCTCACATGTAGTTTGTGGAACCACCATTATCAGTGTAACAGCACTGTTTGCTGTCCTCGCTAATTCCTAATTATGTCCGTTTATATTTAAATCTCTTTTCCTTCCTTAACCCTGTACTCTTGTTCCCTAAACTGTGGCGCCCATCAATACTCTATTTCTGTAATTTTGTCATCTGAGAATGTTATACAGATATTGCTCATTTAGTGACTGAGTTACATTCCAATAACTAGGTCATTAATTGGTCTCCAATTTGATTTTATTTGCAAAACTTATGCAGTACTATAATGTATGACAATATGAAACTACAGTACTGTGCCGTACAGTTATCAAAAATTATAAAATTATATAAACAAAATGTTCTGTACAAAAAGGCATTAAAAAAAAA